AAGCAGGAGACTCTCATTTCAATGCTTTTTCACTCACATTTGCTTTCTGATTATGATGTGCAAAAGAAAAGAATACAACAAAATTTAATTTAAATGCCATGTTTTAAATTAGCCATCTGGAAATTGTACACCTATTCCTGAAGCAGAGAATATGATAAACTGTAAACATAATCCATAGCAGTCCTGTAGCCCTTGATTCTCCTTTTGTACAGGTTCTGCTCCAGTGCAGGAGGCAAGGACTTCAGGGAGTTAACTTCAGCTCCCTGATTCCAAAACATCCTACCCAAGCACAGGTTAGGGCTGCAGAGAGGCTCACTAGCTTTCAAATATCTTATGCCAGTGGAAACTTGGGCATAATGGAGTTCTGCCATGCTATATACCCAACAGGCAGGATGTGGCTGGGTGTGGAATGTGGCTGGAGAAGAAGGTAACAAGAGCACCTAGTGCAGGATTTCTAGCAGCAGAGTTCCCTTGAGCAGGAGGAATTCTCCACTGGCTATTTCCCACTGGTTTAAAGTCATTTTGTAGTTGTGCAGTTCTAAATGGCCTTAGTACCAGTTAATCTGGCCCCTTAACCTTTTGACTATCATTACATACTGATATAGCCTAGAGACCAGGAGTGCTCAACCCCTGCTCCATGGACCAAATCTGGCCTGTGGAGCTATGGTAACTGGCCCTTAAGGCTCCCACATGTCAGGAATGTGATAGAGAGGGAGTAGTGACAATTACACTGCCACCCCTCACCCACCACCAAATTTTCAAGCTTCGCATGGCTGGATTAGGTCTAGGCTGAGCTGTTGCCACACAGCCAGATTGGGGCTCAAACCAGGCCATTACGATGCAGCTGAATCAGGCCCAAACTGGGTTGTTACCATGTGGTTGACGTGGCCCTCTTCCACACAGGCAGAAGCCATGACCCCTTGAAGGGCTAAATCTTGCCCATCCCCACCTTGCCCCAGCTGCATTGGGCCCAGGATGGATCAGACCCCTACCATGCCTGCCCCACATTCTGGATTGGGCCCACCAGCCAAAACCAGTTTGCTGACCAGATTAAGATTATTTGGGTTGATGCTATCTGGGGGAATATATTTTCCAATTACTAATATTTCCATTTTTTAGTGTTACTTTATGATTGAAGTGGGGAAATAGGTGGCACAGAACAAAGTGCCTTGGCCAGGTTGGGATAAGAATATTCGTAGCCCCAAGGGAAATACAGTCCCTAGCCTACAGAGCAAAATGATTGAGCACCATTGCTTCTTATTTGTGCTTCTTTTGCAAACTAAGAAAAGAGACAAAAATGCACAGACAAAACAGAATTAATGGCCTTATGTTCAATTACAGCTATAATTAAAACAATCAGGAATCTAAAACTAGGAAAGAAAGCACAGGGACAATTGATCAGTTATCCCATGTACCATAAATTCAGGGAGTAACACTCTGGAGAAAGGAAGAATCTAGTGGGAGATAACTCCAGCAGTTATAAGAAAAATGTTAGCATCCACCTCTCTTACACAGAGGATAGGTAGCCACATGTACACTCCACAGTTTCTAGATATAATTATTATGCCAATCAGCCACATCTGCCATATTCTTAACATCACTGTCCAAATGACTCCAGGCAAACAAAAACCAAATGTAGTACCTGCCTCAGTCCACAAGCTTGTACCAAACTCTAAGACCAAGGGTAATTTATGGTTATAGATCAGAGTCTTTGCCTGTATTCAGAGCAAAAGACTCAAGCAGAAAGCCTAGAGTTCATAGACATAATTCAAAGTGTACCCTACTGAATGGGTTTCCACAGCTCATCAGGTACTTAAAACTATATATTATAGATATTTTTCTTAGATACAGTCCAGTAGCGACAGTAGGAAATCGACTTCTATTTGATCGAAATGGAGTTAAGATATCACAATGAGTGGCATCCATTACCAATTTTCATGTCAACAACTACTTAGACAAAACAATATAAGTTAATCTGTCATTTCAGGTCATGTGTGTTTCCCTACATTAGTTACCATTTAATGTGCATTTTTAATGAGTTTTAGACTATTCAAAGCCTAGCTAAACATATATGTTTGATGCATGCATGGATATTTTATTATAGTCGGACTTTTCTATTGTCTATATAGCTTTTGAAATGTGCATAAAGCAGATGTTTAAATTCAAACTGGAAAAACACAGGTGGAAACAAACACGTTTTCCAAAGTTTGATAGAAATCTGTTTGGCCATGTATATGCATGAACTGCAAACAATCAAGAGGTCTATAGTTACTAGGTGTTTTTGATGAGCCTACCTGAGTAGCTGTAATCTTTTTATCTCTCTGCAGAGTTTCACTTTTCATCATGATATTTGACAGATACAAATTCTGAGAGGTAAGCCCATTTTTAAATAATAATGTCAAAAGGCCCTTTTTCTACCTCAGTCAGAGACATAGTCTTGACCAATGTTCCCATAAAGGTTACAAAATAAGGTCCTGTAAAAAAATTATGTATCCATAGTAGCTTGCTTCTAAGACTGCAAAATTATTATTTTCTCCTATTAATACAAATAGCCCCCCAAAAGAGTCCCTACATAAGGCAAGCAGAGTTTGGTCTATGAAGGATGAGCTTCTGGTTAAAAATCCCTTTCTTAGGAAGTTAATTATCCACCCCTATTATTAAAAAGAAGAAATTTAAGTATCTTACAACCAAGTACTTGTGGGGTAGGGGAGGCTGGTTGTTTGTTTGTCTGCTTGTTTTTTGGTTTCTTTTTGTGCTTAAAGTTAGGCTTCCTTGATTTTTAAAAGTTGTTAGCACCCAGCTACTCTCAAAGTTTGGTCATAAATGTTTTATCAGATAAGAAATCACTCTGATCAGTTATTTTATGTAATTTACCATTTACAATTCCCAATGTATGTGACTGGGTCGGAATATCCTCTAACTATATAATTACTGTAATTATATAATTCTTTTTAATAATAACTAAAATTAGCATTTATCTGCGTTGCCCTGTATCCTACGATAACGGACTCACAGGCCCCACTGTGCTTGGTGCTGTGTAAACAGAGAACAAAAGTCCCTGCCCCATAAACCTTATAATTTAAGTAAAATTGAGAGGTAACAGATGGATACAGACAGATGGGGAGCACGAGGAAACAATGAAAGAATATTGGTCAGCATGCTAGACATGGCCATAGCACACCAGCAGCCTATCCATGTCAAATTCTTTGTCATCACCATAGCAAAGGAGAATTTTTATGTAGAATATGAAGAACAACAGTGAACAATAGCTAGTGAACAACAAGCTATGAACAATAGTCTTCCGACTATTGTCAAAACTATAGCTAGATAGCTATAACTATTTTCACTATATGTTCATTCATCATAGCTAGTGGGTAAGTGGTGGTGTAGCACAGTGGCTTTCAAAGTGTTCTGTGGACCTCCAGGGTTCCACAATAGCTCATCAGGATTCCACCAGGTGATTGAGGGTAATGGGCAAGCAGGCCAGGAGGCAGTGCACTGCCAATCCTGGGCTGGGGTGCCTGGCTCCCTCAGTTCACATGGCCCATGGAGACAGGGATAGGGGTTCTGCAGCAGGAGAAGTCATCTGAAAGTGTCCTGTGACTCTAGGAAGTTTGAAATTACTGCTGTAGCATATAGATAGGTCAGACAGTCTCTCTCCATGTCTGGGAGTGGTCTGCAAGGTTAAACTCTTGGACTGGATTCCTCCTACACAGACCTCCAGCCTCTGCTGCTTTTCTGGATCTCCTCCCCCTCACTTTTGCTTAAAAGAGAAATATGGGTCATAGGAAGTTGAAACCACAAAAATGAAATAGTGTTGTCTGATTGAGAAAAGCCATAGACAATTAAAGCTGTAAACCCATCAATAATTCACCTCTGGTGCCTAAATGTATTAGAGAAATCTGTAGACAAAATACTGATTTGATCCTCACTCAGGTAATACCTGCATTGATTTCCATAACAAAGTTGCTTAATAAAAGTGCAGAATTAGGCTCCAGGGACTTGTTTCTGAACTATTACAATCAATTGAAGTTTTGCCATTGATTTGAATGGGAACGGGAGGAGAACCCATGTATGTGCTGCTCTATTTAAGTATAACATAATGTGTTAAATATAGAATAGGAATATAGAAGTGTAGGTGTACTCCTGTATTTTTTTGGTTTAAGGAGTTTTAGTGGTAATTTAACTATTACTATTTTATTCTCCATTTACTATATTCTTATATTTTAACATTTTGGTTTTTAATAAAGCTACAGTTCTGCATGTTAACTCCTATTTTATTTTATATCTATTTCACAATTTGTTTATTCATTGTTTTCTCTCTCCTGCTCAAGATTTTTATCAAAGTACTCACAGGAACACTCACCGGTGACAGGAAGATATCACCAAAGGTTGCCCACAAAATAGTTCAGCCAATCATAGATAAGATTGTTCCAGCTGTTCTGAGTGCAACAGGATCTTCCCCTGAGTTATTAGTTTCCTGAACCACCATTATTGCTTTTGTCCCAATAACAACATTTAGAAAATCTACATATGACATAAATTATAGGAAAATATGGGGACATTTTACGTTAAAACTGTTCTTGACATGCCAAAGAACTAAATTTAAACTCTTGAGACAATACATTCGTCTCAGTTTACAGAATAACTCCCACTGATGTCAACTGGATTTATATGATTTACAGATTAAAATCAGTACATAGTTCTCAATCTGTAGGACCCATGTTAGCTTCCAAAAGAACATCACACGTGCCATATTTAGTAATAATGGCATTTGATAATAATTAACTTTGCTGCAGAAAACAATTGTATTATATATGTACGTGCCTTATTTAAAGCACAAAATGGTCTTACTTATCAAGGAAAACTAAGTGAAAGAAAACAGCATGGAAATGTTTAGCTTCAGTGGTTGCAGTTAGCAAGTCAGCATTAGCTGATGACTTTTAAATGGTAAAAGTTTAATCCTTTGAAAGCTAGAGAAAGGTAAGATGCAACCTCACCTGTTCAGCGTTGTCTTTAAGCAGCCTTTGAGGTATTTGTCAGTCAAATCTTCTTGTGTTTTATTATCCACCTCTTGCTTAGTTACTTTCTTATGACAAACCAGTATGTAATTTTTGTCATCATTGTTTGCCCAGAATGTGCCAACAGATGTCTCATAACGTATACAGAACTCAACTTTAGCTTCATCTCTTTGATACGGCGGAACCAATGAAATCTTAAAGAAGAACTGGTCAGTTTCACCATCATAAGAATTAGGGACATAGTCTGCTAAGATGTCATAGTGACTTTGCCAATCATCTAAGGTCATTCTAACATATATCAACTTTTCAAAAGATATATTTAGAACTCTAATAATGCCATTCATACACGTTACTCCAGGTAAGAAGAAAACTGACTCCAGCAATACTTTCTCTTCACGCACTTTTTGCAAAAGATCTTCTTCTGAGGCAGGCAAAGTAAACAGTGGAGATAAAAAATATTCCTCCACAGGCTCAACTTCATCTTCAAAGACATCATTTTGTGATGTAGTTGGAACTTCCCAGGTATCAAATTCTTTAACAGACACAAGATCAAAACCAAATGCATCAGCAAAGGAAACTTTTCTTGCAATGGTAGATGGGATTTCTGGCTCTGTATCTTCTGAAGAAGCAGAATTCCGCCTTCGTGGAAGTGGGGAGAAACGAGGCTTAAGGGTAGTTTTAACATCTTCATCTTCTGAAGGGGGATCACTTAAAGTAGGGACTTCTAATAAGTTATCCCTGCTAACCTGACTGGGTTCTTCAAAAGACTCCATTGGGCTCTCTGATATAAACTGAAAGAGAACTGTACAACTAGTGGCAGATGATATTTGAGACACTGTGATTTAAAACAAGGATTCATGTTACAGTTGACATTGCAAAAGGGAGTCAGGTCTATTAATAGGTGCAATGGCTTGTAAGCTATGTTAGTCTGCTCTCCAAAGGCCTTAAATCTGATAGTATTAATGTTACGGTTTCAACTATGTTTCATGGCTGCAGTGATGTTTTTAGGTAGTGTGTACGTGCAAAGAGCAAAAGCAACATTTAAATAGCTGATGTTTTGCAAAACTGCAAATATGTAGGTATTTTAGGCAATCATTTTGCATTGTAAAGCAAATGCATAACATATTGCACAAATGTAGAACCATAAATAGGAGGTATGGCCTATCAACAAAAGATTTGCTTTATTATGGATTATTTCTGTTTCTCTTTTCAAACATATTATTTTAATTGTATCCAAATATAAAACTTCAGTCAAATTCTGCTCTGATTTCATGCAAGCTCAGTAAGCCAGATCCTGAACTATGTCAGTTTATACCAACTGAAGTCCTTGCCATCAAAAACATGTGCCAATCTTATTACAACCATATCAAAATACCTTTAAATTAAGCCAAAATGAAATATAGTGAATATATTGAAGGTCATATTGTAAATCATCACTGTAAATATATCCATTTATCCATACTAGTTCTTTTATAAAGTCTTTTGGGCTAGATTGTGTCTAGTCCTCGTGCAGTCTCCTAGAGGAGGAAGCAAGGAGCTTTGCATGTGCTAAAAACTTGAGGTGGTGCCTCTAAGAGGCCCCACTGGGGTGAGAAAACTCAGTATCACCCATGGTATGAGCCTCTAGCTAAACACCAGAAATCAGTTTACTCAGAAACACCTTAACCAGTCAGCATATACTTTTAAGATATTCTGAAGATAGAAATTTGCAAAATAGTTTTTGAGGCATAGGCCATTACCTCTTAATTTCCTCCTCCCATGGGTTATCATCTGTCCTTCCCTGCTGTCTTGATATGACTCTCAAAGTGCAAGTTTACTTTTTAATCCAGAAATGTGACCACAGCTCATGTGGACATACCCAAACTAATCTTAAGTAGCAGTCTCAGGTATGGGGAGCAGTATATCCATGACAGCACAGAGTTTCTTCTGGATTCTTCCAAGATCTCAGTTATGTTTCCAGAGTATTTTTTCCAGGATCTCAGGCACGTTCTACACGAAACCTCTTTCTTCTGTGGCTTGCTGTTAAACTACCTCAGGTATGCCTACATGAGATGCAGTTGCATTTTTTGGAGTGCAAGGTATACATATTTTTTCTTACAGGCTTCCTTTTCTGATAAAGATGTTGCCTCCCACATTGAGAATACAACTCCATCCCTCTTTGCTACATCTCCCCTATCATCTCTCTGCTATTGTCTCATCTGTTGCTGCAACATCACATTGGTTTCCTCTTATCATTGTCTCTTCATTGATGCTGTCCCCTTGAGATAGGATTCTTATATAAGTAGTGCAACCCTTTATTTAAAGAATAGTGAAGTAGTTTGATGTAGTCATGTAAACTGTTGGAATATCACTGTTGTAAAATTTGGCATTGTAGAGTGCTGTGGAACTTTTTCATACGGTTCTATCACAGCAGGAAATGGAGGGGTGCTTGGAGAACTTGTAGAAGCAAAACAGAAGATGAATAACAGGACAGTCCTACAGATGAATGGTGACTGCATGCTGAAGATAGCAATGGTGGCTGATCCTCTAATGGCAGCTCAAGTTCTTTCCCACAGAGACAAAGATCATAGTATAAACCACTATACTTTACTTACTGTAATGTCACTACAGTGCTTGTATAACTATATTAGGTTCAGTTTTGTTACATACTACAATTTCATAGAATCATATAAAATAGAGCTGGAAGGGACCTCAGGAGGTCATCTAGTCCTAGCCACTGCTCAAGATGAGATCATTTGTATGTAACCTTTCTGAGTAAGTGTTGAATCTATTTTAAAAACTGCATTTACAAATGTTTTGCACAACTACCAGGCACAATGCTTCCAAACAGCCAGAACATCATAATTTGACCCAGGTAAAACAGGGCACAAGGGTGCTGTCAACATCCTGACACAAGAAGTAGCTTGTTAAAATACATGCAAGAGATCCAAGGAATAGAACTATTTTTCCCCAACTGCAGAGGGGGGCAAGAATCCCCACAGTCCATGCTGATATGATTTTCCCTTTTTATTTTTAATGAACCTTTATGAAAGAATGCACAGACACTGTGTCCAGCAGACAAGGAATTAACTTCCTAATGAACTCTCTGGCAAGCTACATAGGTGGGAAGGGCTAAGCTATTCAGGCAGAATTCCTGAGAGAATGAAATCATGAATTAAGGATTTATCTTTTTCCAGAGAAGTTTTTTTTAATATTCTGAATGAAGTGAGTGAGGTTAGTAAGCAGAAGGTTAATTAGAACTGTGAAGGTTGAAATTTCTCCTAGAATATAGGAACCAAGCTGAAGAGAAGTAGAAAGGTTTTGCTATTTTAAACCCTGTTAAATAAGAAGAAATGTTCTTTCTGGGCTTAATCTAATGCCCAGTAAGTCAATGGGAATTTTTCCATTAACTTTAGTCGGCACTGGGTCAGGCCCAATGCTCGCTGACTGCTAGAGTACAGACTACAACACATGACAAGTGATATCTACACAGTAAGTGAATACTACCAGGGCTAGAGACAGAAATTACACTGAAACCCATATAAGTGATCAGAAACCAGTTCAAATCTATAACGCAACAGAAGTTTAGTGCAAATAAATGGCTTCAAAATTACCAAAACTGGTTTAAGATAAACCTGGATGGATTTACTATCAGACTTAACTGATTTAAGTTAAATCAGTTTATTAAACTTCTGTCCCAGCTAGCCTTGGTCCAAGCTGTCAGCTCTAGCTGAGCAGGGAGGCATGTGCCTCTAGTGCCTACCTCGCCCCGCCCCCAGCTTCTGGCCTGGGCCATTGCAGATATGTGGCTGCATTTCCAAAATCAAAAGTGAATGTCTGTTCACTTGCTTATTGGTTCAATCTATACAGGTTAGATTAACCTGTATCAATTCAGATTCAGCCTTGGGCTTTTTGAATGTCTGTACTTAGCCAGCTGTTTTATGAAGAAAGCTTCAACCTTAGGTCTGAATTTTTGTGCTGTTCGTAGATCAGACTTTTACTTGCAATTAGAATGTCATGTCTAATTTCCCTTTAAAAATAGACACTTACGTTGGAGAACAAACTTTTCCAAACCCAAATAGTGTCAGTTAAGCCAGCATTTGAAGTAAATGAGATTATTCCCTGGGTCTATAACTGTCCTGCTACTCATGGAGTTCATCTCTTTCTAGTTGTTTTTAAACCATCACTGTTAGGGACTACTTTTTTCTTCAATCTGAAGTATCTAGTGAACTGAGGAGCATTATATTTCCCCTCTATATGGCATCAGTTGCACGAATTTTAAACAGTTTTCCTCAAAAATGTTCACAGCTGTTCAGGGAGCAGCTTCTGCAGCAAACTGGGCATGTCTACATGTTCATTAATGTGCCACAGTAATTGCACATTAAAATTTAGAAGGAAATTAATGCCCAATAACTGGTGTTACTGCTCAGTACTGTCAGTGCATGCCTTTTTAGTGAAACTACTGGGCAGTAGTCTAATAATATTGCACAGTAGCATATTAACGCTGTTTGTGCTGTGACACGCTACTGCACAGTATTATTAGGCTACTGCACAGTTAGCATCTCATGTAGATGCACCCACTGTGTAGTAAACAATTCCATAAGGGACATAATGGAGGAAGCAGGACCAGTCACAACAGGAAAGTGAAAGCAACATCCAAAAGAACTTTTCATTACTGAATATGTGCAACTGCCTATATTGTGTATATAGTTGCCATTGGATTGTACTTTTCTGGTTGGTTCTGGCATGGGTGAATAGCAGGCTGAAGAGCAGGGTGAAGAGCAGAGAGACTATATCCCTTATTCCTTTATACATACCTCTTTAATGTTGACTGAAGATAATCAATAGAAGGCCTTGTAAAAATATGGGTCCATAATTATCTTCAGCGAAGAATACAAAACTTATTTTATATTAGTAAATATTGGGAAAGAAATATTTTCTCCATGCAGAAAAGCCTACACTAGCCAATGGTTGGGTGGTCATAAAAGCTAAACAAAAAAGATGGCAGAAAGGCTGAAAAAGTTGCACCCTTTAGAAATCAAGTTCTTGGCATATTGTGTGAGGTATTCTGAGATTTTTTTTTTTAAGTGTATGGACCTAAGAAAGAAAGCACACACCATTTCATTTAACTGTGTTCTGCCAAGATATCCTGACAAAAAAGCAATTTAAAGCACACCTCAAGTAATAAAGGCTGTGTGAGGGCAAAGGCCCTCTGTTATATCTGTGCAGCTTTTTTGTCTTTTGCCCTCAATTACAGACTGTGCATAATTCAAGGAAACTGCAGAGATTTGGTCCTGAAATTGGAAACTGATTATCAGTTCTGTTGATATCTGTGGCCTAACCTAGAAAGCAGTTCACTCTCAAAAACCATGTTGGTTTCACAGTGCTATCAGGAATAGCAAAAGCATATGTGATAACAGAAATAAACCTTTAAGTCATTTTAATAGCAATACACACAATACAATTAAAACTAAATTCCCATTGATTTCAAGGATACCAGGATCTGGGTGGAACCAATCCAGTGGGTACATCTACATGTGCCCCTGACTGCATAGTTGGTACTACTTACTTTAGCACATACTAAATGTGAGTGCTACTTGCTTTAGCAAGTACTAAATGACTGTGCAGTACCCCCCAGTACTGCACAGTAGGGCTGTGCGAAGATTCGGTCTCTGATTCGATTCAGCAGAGATTTGGCCTGATTTGGTGTCTGAATCTGAATCGAATCAGAGGACCCTTTAATCTCTCTGATTTGAATAGGAACCCTCTGAATCAATTTGGAGAGATTCTGAAAGATTCAGAGATGTGATATAGACA